TTTCACCATGTTGACCAGGATGGTCTCGATCTCTTGACCTCGTGATCCACCCGCCTCGGCCTCCCACAGTGCTGGGATTACAGGCTTGAGCCACCGCGCCCGGCCTAATTTTTGTATTTTTAATAGAGATGGGGTTTCACTGTGTTGGTCTGGCTGGTCTTGAACTCCTGACCTCAAGTGATCCACCTACCTCGGCCTCCCAAAGAGTTGGGATTACAGGCGTGAGCCATGGAAATAAAACGTTTTCAGACTGAATCTTACTCTATAGCCGAGGCTGGAGTGCAGTGGTGCGATTTCAGCTCACTGTAAACTCTGCCTCCAGTGTTCAAGCGATTCTTGTGCCTCAACCTCTGGAGTAGCTGGGAATACAGGGTCCTGATACCCACCTGGCTAATTTTTTGAATTTTTAGTAAAGGCAGGGTTTCACCTTCTTGGCCAGGCTGGTCTTGAACTTCTGACCTCAAATGATCTGCCCGCCTTGATCTCCCGAAGTGCTGGGATTACAGGTGTGAGCCACCACACCTGGTCACATGTGATATTTTGATGCATGTATATAATGTGTATGAATTGGAACCCTGTCTTAAGCTCTCCATCCTCCGAGAGTGAATTGTGCTTGAGAGGTTAAGTGATCTGCCCAAAGCCACAGAGCTGGAAATATGCAGAAGTGGGAGGAGAACCAGGACCGCTCCTTGTCTTAGGATGTTTTGCCCCTCATCATTGCAGGAGAGGAAACCCCGCCCTGCCCCGTGCAGGCCTGGCTGGTGTTCCTCCTGAAATGCCATTAGTCCAGCCACATCTTTCTTCCCCAGAACTCCTTCCTGGGCTTTTTCAGTCATCTTTGCCCTTCCGTATTCCAGTCCTTAAAATGTGTAAACCTAACTAAGCAAGATCATGGCTGCAATTTCGTATCCAAAGGAAGATTTCGGCGGGGAGGCTGTTTTTGTTTTTTTTGTTTTGTTTTGTTTTGTTTTTAATAGAGACGGGGTTTCACCATGTTGGCCAGGCTGGTCTTGAACTCCTGACCTCAGGTGATCCGCCCACCTCGGCCTCCCAAAGTGCTGGGATTACAGGCGTGAGCCACCGCGCTCAGCCCTCCGGGGAGGCTGTTTACATGGAGGCCGGGACCAGGAGGGCAGTTCTCTGTGGCATCCCACCTGTCACCCTCAGAAAACCAAGGAGGGGTGGAGAGAATGGTGGGCAGCTTCGTCTCCCACCCAGACTTCGGCTCTGCTTTATCATACCATCTCTAGAGGAAGGGACCCTGTGCATTAATCTCTTTTCCCTGACATTTCCAGTCAATTTAGATGCAATTTAGATCAAAGTCTGCTCTAGGAGAGCAGAAGAATTGTTTGAAGGGGAGGGGGTTGTTAACCTTGAAGAGCTTGTGGTCTAGTTGGGGAAAATCATAAATGTGTGAAATAATTCTCGAAGTACAAAACTTTGCAACACAGGACCTAACAAGTTCCAAGTTGTATGGTCTTTGAAGATAACTTTGCTAGGACTTGGGTATTTAATACCTAAAAGTAATTGTCCTAATTTTTAAAAAGAAGAAGAAATCTTTAAAAAACAGTGAGGCCGGGCGTGGTGGCTCACACCTGTAATCCAAGCACTTTGGAGGCCAAGGCGGGCAGATCACCTGAGGTCGGGAGTTCAAGACCAGCCTGACCAACATGGTGAAACCCCCCTTTAAAAAAAAAAAATTAGCCGGGCGCGGTGGCTCAAGCCTGTAATCCCAGCACTTTGGGAGGCCGAGGCGGGTGGATCACGAGGTCAAGAGATCGAGACCATCCTGGTCAACACGGTGAAACCCCGTCTCTACTAAAGCTACAAAAAATTAGCTGGGCATGGTGGCGCGTGCCTGTAATCCCAGCTGCTCAGGAGGCTGAGGCAGGAGAATTGCCTGAACCCAGGAGGCGGAGGTTGCGGTGAGCCGAGATCGCGCCATTGCACTCCAGCCTGGGTAACAAGAGCGAAACTCCGTCTCAAAAAAAATAAATAAATAAAAAATAAAAAACAGTGAAAATTCACCAAAATATATGTGCTAGGTAGCGATGGAAATTCTTGAGTTTTATTTCTACCAGAAAAGTGGAATGTTCATATATATATTTTGAGACAGGGTCTCACTCCGTCACTCAGGCTAGAGTGCAGTGGCATGACCACGGCTCACGACAGCCTACATCCACCTCCTGGGTTCAGGTGATCCTTCCACCTCAGCCTCCCAAGTAGCTGGGGCTACTACACACCACCATGCCTGGCTAATTTTTCTACTTCTTTTTTTCCTTTTTTGAGGTGGAGTCTCACTCTGTCGTCCAGACTGGAGTGTAGTGGCGCGATCTCGGCTCACTGCCACCTCCGCCTCCTGGGTTCAAGCATTTCTCCTGCCTCAGCCTCCTGCGTAGCTGGGACTACAGGCATGTGCCACCACACCTGGCTAATGTTTTGTATTTTTAGTAGAGATGGGGTTTCACCATATTGGCCAGGCTGGTCTCGAACTCCTGACCTCATGATCTGCCCGCCTTGGCCTCCCAAAGTGCTGGGATTACCGGCCACCTGCGCCTGGCCATAATTTTTGTAGAGACAGGGTCTCTCTATGTTGCCCAGACTGGTCTTGAACTCTTGGGCTCAAGCAATCCTCCTGCCTGAGCCTCCCAAAATGCTGGCATTACAGGTGTGAGCCACTGTACGTACACAAATTTTATATTATTTATTTATTTTTTTTAAGACGGGGTTTCACCATGTTGGTCAGGTTGGTCTTGAACTCCCAACCTCAGGTGATCCGCCCACCTTGGCCTCCAAAGTGCTTGGATTACAGGTGTGAGCCACCATGCCTGGCCAAATTTTCATATTTTATATGTGAATCCATTAGAATGCTTATGGCTGCAAGAATGCATCCCACAGATTTTACAATAAGGACATTTGTTATCTCACATAAGAAGCAATCTCTACTATGCCCATTGTGTGGGTGATTCTGCCCCACTTGGTCGTCAGATGGTGAATCACATTTGGGGTGACCATATCCAGTGAAATAAAATAGGAGACAGCCCCTCAGTGCATCTCCTTTTATCAGGGAAGAATCCCCCAAAGCTCCCCAACAAATAACCTCCCAGGCCAGTGTTAAGGCTATTTTAGCTGTAAGGGAGTCTGGGAAAGCCACATCCGACCTTTCACCCTCTACTGAGGGCCTCCACTGCAAGAAAGGTATGATGGGGACAGCAAGGGAGGAGGCCACAAAAATGTCTACGGTCATCTAGCAAGTGATAACGTCTTGACAGTACTATTAAATACTTAAAGTGAGCACATACAGGTACTTATACGGATGTTGTAAATAAGAGAACCTTGTAACACCTTACTGTAAAGATTATAAACATAAGAGTCCCAAAGCCGGGCGTGGTGGCTCACATCTGTAATCCCAGCACTGTGGGAGGCCAAGGTGGGTGGATCACCTGAGGTCAGGAGTTTGAGGCCAGCCTGGCTAACATGGTGAAACTCCATCTCTACTAAAAATACAGAAAATAGCCGGGTGTGGTGGTGGGCATCTGTCATCCCAGCTTCTAGGGAAGCTGAGGCAGGAGAATCGCTTGAACCTGGGAGGTGGAGGTTGCAGTGAGCCGAGATCATGCCATTGCACTCCAGCCTGGGCGATAGAGAGCAAGACTTTAAAAAAGAAAAAAAAAGTGGACTGTGAGGTCAGAGAGACCAAGGTTTAAAACTCGGTTTTGGGCCGGGCGCGGTGGCTCAAGCCTGTAATCCCAGCACTTTGGGAGGCCGAGGCGGGTGGATCACGAGGTCAAGAGATCGAGACCATCCTGGTCAACATGGTGAAACCCCGTCTCTACTAAAAATACAAAAAATTAGCTGGGCATGGTGG